GAATCAATAGTACAATCTGTCCTAAATGAATAATTATAAATACAGTATAAATAAGTACTCATAACAATAATGTGTTGTTTTATGAATTGTTTAAGTATACCTACGTTGTACAAAAATCAGTTTCAAAGTAGTTTGTCATATATTTATTATCAGTGACGGAATATTTAGCTTATAAATATAAATATAATATAATATAATATATTAGACTTTAGACAGCACTTGACGTATTAATGGATTTTTTTTGGAAAAACAATATTTAATTAAACCAGTATAACAGATAGTGGGGTAATATTGCTGGCAATCAACAAAATGTTTAAGAACACTATAATATATGACACTCGAGACTAAGGGCATTAATCAAGGAGAGATCGACTTTAAAACCTTCGAAAACAATTTCCATTATACGATGGACCTTAAGTTTGTATTTAGACAATTTTTGTATTTGATTATTTTCTGGTGGTAACATTTCTGGACGTAATTTTTACGTTTACCATTTTACCTATATAGGTAAATACCAAGTAGTAAAAATAGTATAACCAAGTAGTTAGTACCAAGTAGTATTTTCAGTAGTAAAAATTAGACGAGTGTCGAGTCGTACATTCATTCATTATGTGTTATACTTGTAGAGTTGAAGGTACCTATAAATTGTGAATATAGTATACAATGCTGTATGTAAATTACTTCCAGTTTTTGTGAAAATATGATGTTGCGTCAAACACTCGGGTATCAATGTGGTCATGTGGAATAAGCCGGTTGATAAAAAAAAATAAACCCGACCCAAAATTGTGTGTGCTAATGCAACGATGATATAATCTAAAAAATTTAGTATTTAAGCACCGAATCGCATTAATAATATCATACACGCATTACATTATAATAATTAATAATATGGTCTACATACCTATGTATACGTTACGGTTATCTATAATATTATCGTCATATCCTAAATGTTATAGATAAACCAATGTTGACGGTGTAGTATTGTGTTTCGTAGTAGGTACTTCGAGGTGGTGGACGAAACGTGTACATTATTATTATTACATATATTATAATACTTAATTATCAGGCGACTGGTCGACGACCCGTACCTCTGATAAGTGTGCATGTGTAGTGACGTGACCCAAATAGCGCATACATGCACGTAATTCAGAGGCGGTGGCGGCTGGTGTAGGCGATGAACGCGCGGGACGGGGAGGGCAAGTGACTACCGTACTTAACGATAACGAGCTTTAGTAGGCATACAATAGGTAGGTGGGTACAATAATTAACGTACCTACCCAATCGTCGGTGCACGAATCTATAGAGGGGAACACACGACGACTATAATAGTGATGGACTTGGACGTGAGAACGACGCTCGTTCCCGAAGACTTTTTTGAAAAAATTTCAAAACCCTCTCCGTAAACATATTTAAGCCGACGAGTTTAATGGGAAATGTAGTCGTACCATCATCGAGTCATAATAATATCAATTTTCAGTAATAAGAATACAATATCGCTGTGACGACAGAGTCCGTAGCACCCAATAATTGTGGGTCGCGGCCGCGGCCACACTGCAGTGGCCTCGACGTCAGAGTACATGCGCGCGCGCGCACGTTGTATATAATAATAATAATAATAATAATAATAATAATAGTAATAAAAATATGCACTCGCGCGTTCGGACGACTGGAAGGGCTGGAACGGTGGCGGCAAGCCGGGGCGGGCGGGGAGGACATTGGTATTCTGATAATACCACACAGTCAGACCTCCGCTGATATCGACTGCGCTCGTCGCTCACTCCGCCGCCGAAATCGTTTTCAAACGCACCGAATACGGCAATAATAATATCTAATCGTGTTATACGCTCGCGAATCGCTCACAATGGCCGACGATTGATGGAGACGATGGAATCGGTAGAGACGACAGCTATACGCGTTTAGCCAAGCAAACAAGTCCGCTCAAACAATAGATAGGTAGGTACTATACGCTACTACGTCGACGATGGACGGTCGAAAGTGTGAAAACGCCGTTTGAGACTGTGTGTTATGATTTTTGTGGTTATCACGGTGTCATTGTTGTAACCGTACGATAATTATTCGTTTAATTATACCGACTTTACTATTATACCGGGGGGGGGGGGGCACTACGATATTATGATATTATACTGCTGCACGCAGCAGTGGTATACTGGTATTATACCATGGTAGATATGACGACATTTATAATAGTAATAAATTAAGTATTATTAACCGGCGAGACAAAGCGACATCGACTTTATACGTCTACATTAAGTTAGACTATAATCATAAAGGTGTTTTACCTACTATTGTCGTTACAAATATTTAAGTTATCGAGAAATGTGTTGAGTAATATTTCTGCCCATTTTATATAATATGCCAGAAGGTACGCTCTAAAGATGCTTTTTGAGATATAAGACACCGAAATTGGATAGTTTATATAAATCTAGGCCTGTCATGGAGAGAAATGCTAACAGCCCTAGAAGAAGGTACGATATTGTATTATATGCTGCAGTTGGTAAATGGTAATTATAATAATTACCGTGGAAAACGTGCGTACAATAAATATTAATTATTAGGTGATTCATCCATCGCAAAACACTTTTTATTCAAAAAAACTAACAGCCTTTTTGAAGAAAAAAATGTGCATTGTTAAAAACAACATTTTGAATATAATTAATGTTTTTTTACAATTTTTATAACTACTATTTTTTAAGTTTTTTCTTGTTTGAATGGCAAAGTGCATTTTTTATTTCATTTATTGAAGTCGGAGTATTTCGTTAAATAAAACAATCAAATTTTGGACGAATATTATTATAATCACTGTACGGTAAATCGGTAGTCACAGTTTTAGTTTATTCTCCGGATCTTAGCCCGGCGTGTTTAAATTATGGAAGTATATAAACGTATTGTACAGCGGTAATCGCAGTTCACGTTATTGATGTTTCATGGTAATTTCGTGCAATGGCCTCGCTCGCACACGTTCCACGATCGTATAATAATATTAGGTAGGCATATATGTTATATCGTCGTCGTGCGTGTACAACACAATATAATATTATGTCTTACGTACACTAATATACTTAATAGAACGGCATAACGCATGCCGTGCAGTTAGTCTGTAAATGGTGCCCACACATACATTAATATTATAGGTATTCAAATATTCGAAAATATATAATCCATGCGATTATATAATATTATACCGGCCGAGGTCAAAAGTCTGTCTTACGTTTTGTTTGTTTGTACCCACAGTACTCAAACTTATCTAACTGGTCTGAAAATTATTACGATTATCAGTTATCATAATAATATATAGCCATATAGGTACTTACTGGACAAGACAATTTCCAATTATTTTGATTTATGTATAATAATGTGTAATATACCTTTATATTCACACCATGGCTAATCCAATTTGATAAAAACCGGTAGCACAAGTGCAATTGAAAACTAATTAATTAAAATTTATTTCAGTTTAGTGCATTTAATATTAAAAAAAGAAAACGAAAAATAAAACAGGAGATTTATTAGTAAATTATTCGTTTTAAATTTTAATTGCGAGTATAATAATCAACCAAACCTAACTTTTCATAATAATTTAGATCTCAATATTTATTTAATACAACCTATGAGAATACATTTGTTGAGTACCTATATTTATTTGGTTCTTTTCGTATCCTGTTGGTCTATTATTTAAAAAATAATAATATTATGTCAATTATACGAATTTGCTTTAACGTGGACAATGGACATAAATGAAGAAGTTTGCCCAAGACAATGATAAATTAAACTTGTATCAAATATTTCAAACATTAATTATTACGAGTATTTTAATATAATTACTAATTAGGTACCATTAATTCAATTATCTGTAAGACAATTACGATGATAATTTGTTAATCTACCGGTACATATGCGTAGTTTAATGGAAAAATGTATTTATTTCGATTAACGTGAATAATAACTATGGAACAATATTAAACTTTGTTTAATAATATAGAAGTATTAGTGATAGTTTTATAGTTTAATATTTTTTTTCCAGCCATCGTTACTTAATCATGTCTTAGATTACCTACAACAAAAACAATCAGAGGAATGTATTCGCTTGTGCACGTACAATATAAGAATATTATTACTATATATTTTTATCGTATAAGCGTTTGGAGATAATCCGATAAAATCACGGTAGCGGTAATATTATAGTAGCCAACGATTAGCCGATAATAAAGTTGACACGTTATCGTCATACGCGGAGAGTGGTGTCCATTTTTTAAAGTCAAACAACAAGAAAGACTCTGTTCCATTCATAAATCCATAAGACTTCCACTGTGTATAATATATATATATAAGTACAAGATGCAACCCACTTCAAATAATAGATCTTTTGAGTTCCGAAAACAATGGGCTCATAGTCGGTATCACCTTCCCTCCACCATACACCCTTCACCGAGCACCCACCAATTCTTTTATTATCCCTTGGGACTTGTAATTTGTATAGTATAACATACAATACAATATATATATTAAATATATAGAAGGTCTTGTGTACATGCGTTGTGTGGGTTTTGAAAACGGCGCGTAACAAGTGCGTTCCTCTAAAAACAATTGTGGAAGGTCGGGTAAAATCCCTTGAGCGCATTTTCCTCAGTCTCCAGCTGCGATGCATCATCATCACCAGTGCTAGTCATAGTTGTAGTAGTTTTATAGAAGTTTAGGAGTATTATAGTAGTAGTACTAGTAGTAGTAGCTATGAAGTTGTCGAAAGGAGGACGAGGGAGAAACCGCCGACGCACATTGGTTTCTTTGAAAACTCGTAAAGTTGCTTGGCGCTGAATCAAAAATATTAACACGCCCACACACAGTGCAGTAATTTCTATTATTAAACCCAAATAGCCATTTTATCTTTTTTTTTACATTATCAACAGTCTGTTTACGTTTTGTCGCAGTTTATTATGTAATATTACTGACTGGAGTCTTACGTTTGAATATATTTGTTACAGGCTTACAGGAACAAGGGCAACCGATCGATATCAGGCAATTCAGGCTCTCAACAACAGTCGCCCGGGCCGTCAACTCCGCTGAACGGAGCTCCCGGGTCGCCAGTGGTCATGACCGAATCCCATCACAACTCGGTAGGATATCACGTGAATCGCGGACACCTCGGTTTACGTTATTATAATATACAATTTCTGTTTTAGCTATCTGGCACAGTGTTGACAACGTCAGGCAACGGGGCTGGGTTCTACGGTAACCAGGCTGTCAGCATTATGGAATCCGATCCCAATGGCATAGGATTTAGAGATAACAGGTTCGGAACTCCAGCCACCGTGTGGCACTCAACCGACGGGAACGCATTGGGTTAGTACGATAATATACGCAAATAAAAATGCGAACACCATAAAATAAACTTCAATAAAAAAAAATATTGGAAATAACTACGATAGGTAACGTAATAATACGAATGAAATTACATGAATATATAGGTTGGACGGCAGTCACTCAATCACCACAACCTCAGTATGTTGGCCAACAAATTCAATTAGAAGACATACGATACCATTCTCCCGCCAATACTCTGCATTATTCTACTCACGCTCCACCAAACGTTTACAACCAACCGGGCTATCAAACGGTTAGCGCGGCTCAAACGCCGACAACCGGATTCATTCAAGTCAGCAACGGTTTCGCTCAACAACCCACCCAAGTCACCACCAGCTCATTAATTAATGGTGTGCCAAATGTTGCACCCACTATAAACGGAAACGTCGAATACTTGGAGACTTCGGGTAGAACAGATTTTGTCAATGGAACACCGAATTACAATCACATTTCCCAGACTGTACGTATACTTGAGTCTTGCATTGAACGTTAAGGGTATTTCTTTTTTAAACTGTTATCATTATTATTATATTAAATTGTATAGGTACAAGAACAATCACCATCCTCTCAGACCTTGGATTCGTCAAACGACGCATCTATCAAAGTAGTTAACAACAGTTTTAGTCAACCCGGTGCGGGAAACGCGATACCTGGGTACCCACCTCAACAACCTCCCCAATCGCAACAGAGTTTACACAACTCTAATGGGTAAATAACTAGCTATAACTAGTTTTTATATTATTTTATTTATATTTTAATTTATTGTTTAATATAATTATGTAGACTTAATGATCTATTATTTTTAATTTCTTATTAATTATTAATTAAATTCAGAATGTAGAAAACTTAACTGTTTATTATTTTTATATTAGAATACAATGTTTCAAATTTAAATTTAAAAATGTGTTAAAAATGAATACATTATGCATATATTAAAATGTGTTATTTTTTTTTACTAACAGGTACCCAGGTAAAAATGATGGAAATTCCGTAGGGGAGGAGAGAAGTCGAGTTTCAGACTCTCCAGCAACTGGCGTATGGGGCCAGTCAAATAATCAATATGATACATCAACACCAGTATCTGAAAAAAGCAACTTAAATAGTCGAATAAAATCTATGATTCTCAACAAACAACAATATCAACAACAACAATATTTACAAGATAGACCGCAAGATCAACAACAATCTCAACATCAACAATATCTCAACGATCAGTACCAAAAAGAACATAATTCCAATGATCAAAATAACCACCAACATATGCATCAACCACAACAACAGCAGCAGCAGCAACAGGTGCAAATTCAGCAACAAGTTCAACATCAACAGCAAGCTCAGCAGCAACAAGCGCACCAACAAGCGCAACAACATGCGCAACAACAAGCTAAACAACAAGCCCAACAACAAGCACAACAAAGTGCGGCACAGCATCAGCAGTATCTTAACGATCAATATCAAACTGAACAGAGGCACAGCCCACAAGAGCAAAACAACCATCAACAAATGCATCATCAGCAACAAATACAACAACAACAACAAATACAACAACAGCAACAGCAACAGCAGCAGCAGCAGCAGCAACAGCAGCAGCAACAACAGCAGCAGCAGCAGCAGCAACAACAGCAGCAGCAGCAACAACAGCAGCAGCAGCAGCAACAACAGCAACAGCAGCAGCAGCAACAACAGCAGCAGCAACAACAACAGCATCACCAAAGTATACAGCAAACGCATAACCAACTGCAGATACATCAACAACATTTGCATCGGCAGCAAATAATGCAACAGCATCAAGCGCTTCAGCGCCAACAAAGAAACGACGATAGTGGTGACGCCAAGAGCCCACTGAATCAGTCTGATCATCAACAATATCTGGCGGACTCCAAACAAAACTTGATTAGCAATAATTTTTTAGTCCAAGGCCACCATCCTCGGAGCTTAGCTACTGAGGGTGGTGGCTTCTTCTCGGATGTCGAACGGCATCCGAAATACCATCACTACCACCACCATAATGAACAAAAAGAATCAAAAGAAAAACAACAATCATCACCCTCACAACCAGAACAACAAAAACAACAACAACAGCAGCAGCAGAAACCGGTTTATGATTATAAGAAAAGCCTAGAAATCCAAAAATACACTAGTGTTAAAGAAGAGTTTATTGAAGTACCGTATGAAGTGAGATTGCACCGATTTCCGTTTGGGGTCGATCCTAGGGTAAACCAAAATAATGGCTATGTTTTCAACGGCAATGGTGGCCCTAATCCTATTGACGTTGTGGCAGGCCCATGGTGCTGTAGAATGGGTGGTACAGATACGCCAACAACAAAACATTTGTCTGACGGGTGTTGCCATGGGTTAAAGACGTCGGATGAAGGTATCGATCCGGTGGAAATGAAACAAGAGAGCAGTCTAAATAATAGTCAATGCTCTGATAATCTAGATGATAAGTAAGTGGTAATTTTTATAATTTATCTGAATTATGTTTTTATAAATGCATTATGTATTTCAGACAAAAAACTAATACCAAAGCTACGGTTCCCGATTGCAATTGTTTCCCTGCCGACCAAGCGCCTCCAGAACCCGGACCGTTTTACACTCACTTGGGTTCAGCAAACAATTTAATTGAATTAAGAACAAATATGGAAAATATGTCGGGTGTACGAGGCAATGGGTTACGGATGGAAAAGGTAGGATAATTTCACATGAATAAAGTTTACTTAATTTCAAAAATAATTGATGATTGTTAATATTATTGTTTATGTTCATGCATATAGGTATTATACACTGGCAAAGAAGGCAAAACCACTCAAGGCTGTCCTTTAGCCAAATGGGTAATACGGCGTTCGTCGACTGACGAGAAACTTTTAATAGTTGTTAAAAATCGACGAGGGCACAAATGTCAACATTCTTGGATTGTCATTTGTATTGTGTCGTGGGAAGGCATATTGTCCGACGAGGCCGATTTTCTATACACAATGCTGTCGCATAAGCTTAACCAGTGCGTATTGATATAATATTTAAATTAACTCATGTTATTTATGTTATTAATCAACAAACGATTTATTCGATATAGATACGGAGTACCGACTACCAGACGATGTGGTACGAACGATCCGCGAACATGTGCCTGTCAGGGACTCGACTCGGATACGTGCGGTGCTTCATTTTCGTTTGGTTGTTCTTGGTCGATGTACTACAACGGTTGTAAATACGCAAGGAGTAAAGACGTGCGAAAATTCAGACTTTCCGTACGGACAGAGGTAAATTTTGTTGTTATAATTATTTTATACAATACATTTTAAACCAATATAGTACTTTAATAATATCTGCATTTTACAAATTCAATTAGGAACAAGAGTTAGAAGAACGATTACACATGCTAGCGACTAATTTATCACCTCTGTACAAGTCATTGGCTCCACGTTCGTATAACAATCAAATACAATGTGAACGTGAAGGCTCGGATTGTCGATTGGGTTTAAAACCGGGTCGTCCTTTTGCCAGCGTTACAGCTTGTATAGATTTTTGCGCTCACGCTCACCGAGACTTTCACAACATGCACAATGGCTGTACAGTTGTAAGTTAATTAATTAATAATTATAATAATTTGTTACCTTAAAAGTATTTTGCTTAAATTCTTGATAATGTTAAGGTGGTAACATTGAACAAACATCGTGGGTTTCAAAAACCTGATGACGAACAATTGCACGTACTGCCTTTATATGTAGTGGACGAGTCGGATGAATTTGGAGACAAGCAGGCTCAAAGTGATAAATTTAAGAATGGTTCGGTCGAAATGCTTTCCAAGTACGTACTATAGTTTATAAACGATTTATAATTTACTAACCATCAATTTTATTCATGGCAATTGTTTTTCATGGTTGTAGATTTCCGTGTGAGGTAAGAGTTAGATCCGTACCACTTACTCCGTGTAGACGTAAGAAACGCCAAGTCGAAGAACCCGAATCCCCTAGAGGAGCACCTACAACTATAGTACCACAAAAATTTGAACAAAATAGTGACACACAAGTCCAAAGTTCACAGGTATGTAAAGACATAATATTTTATTTTTATCTCCATACTGTTTATAAAACAATAAAAAGTAATTGTATATATGGTCGTATTTAGATATCTTCAACAGTATTGGATAGCCCAACTATAAACATGTATCAAAGATGGAATCATCAAGGTTTACTAGGGCAGAGCCCTTCTAACTTCTATAACGTCCAGGAATATAGTCCATGGAATAATGTCGGTAAGTTAACATTTTTATTATTTAGCTTAATAGTTAAAAGTAATTTTTTAATCACTTAAGAATTCATAATATTATACTATACCTATTTTTAAATAGATAATCTCATGTCACCAAGCATGGAAATGAACTCGAAAGCAAACACGACGAATTATCAATCATTGCCTAGGCATCACGTCCGTAACCTATGGCCACCTGTAGGTGGTGGATTACCTGGTGGCAAGCCGGTTGAACCAGCACTTGCCGGGAATTCAGCTCCAATGCTTCAAAAACCACCAGATTACTTCAGTCAGTCGACCAGCTACGCTCAGAGCAGACCAGTTCCGAGACCGACTGAGATGGCAAATGCCAACAACTATAATTATTATTATAAATCTAGTCAAGCCCTGCCCAATCCGACAAACGTCGTCGCCGCCCCCCCAATAGAGTACAGTCATTGTTACAGCCAGCAACCAAAGTATTTTCCACTGCACCCCGAGGCCGCCTCCAACCGTTGGTGCCCACCACCACCGCAATCGCATTTGTATGCGCCACCACAACCATCTCAGCCGTTCCAAACGCACGAGTCTCGAATTACAAACCAGGACCCGACAATTATGTTCAATCAGGTAAATCACGTTTAATGGTTGTTTTGCCTATAAACATGTGTCGTGTATTTATACTAACAAAGAATTCGTTTCTTACAGGGGATGTCCCAGTACCAGCTTCCAAGATGGGATCCATACGGACCAACACCGTACTTCCCCTCAGTTGTTGTGCCCGAACCTGCAGCGGCACCCAAAGTACATCCGATCGGCGAAGTGACCGATTACATAGAGAACGAAGAATGCTTCAAGGTATGTTCTCGTGTGCGTTATGTATTCAAATGTGGTGGTCACATGCCACATTGGCGTTTGTCTAATAAAAAGCAGCTGACGGTCGAGAAAAAGTTCTTAGATTTCACTATTCAACAAGATATTACAGTTAATAACCTGCGGACCCTCAATCTCTAAATTATTTGCTGTTTCATTTTAAATAGGAATACGAAAAAATTGACGTACATCGTAAATTATACCATAGTCTTGTTGCTATTGTTAGATTTGGTTCCTCGAATACTTCTGAAATCTACTATAAATTTAACTTTTTATTCAATTACTGATTTATTCAGTACATCATATGCCATATGGTATTCCCCTCTCACTATTCCCGAAAGAGTAATCGCACTCTACGCCAAATAGATATTTATTTTTCATTTCAACACCTATCAGTTTAAAACCATTCATTGCAGAGATCGTCAACTGCACGTCATAAATCAACCGCAAGCTTATAGTTACTCATCATCAGTGAAACGTTTGCGCCTGAGCCGTTTGTAAAACAGTTTGTGTGTGTAATTTTTCAGGACTCACAGATGGGTGGCGTGGCTATAGCACTGAGTCACGGTTCCGTGCTGTTTGAGGTGGCCAAACAGGAATTACACGCAACCACGGCGCTCCGGAAACCTGACAGGCTGCACCCGACCCGGATCAGCTTAGTGTTTTACCAGCACCGGAATTTGAACAGACCCAAACACGGCTGGGAGGAATGGGAGGAGAAAATGAGGGTGCGAAAGATGGGCAACGCAACTACCAATTGCAATTGCGGCACAGGCACAGCGGCCACGACCACGACCACCACTGCCAACGCGCTATTGTCAGCCACTGGTGGACGAAAATCAACCACTGTGACCACCACCACGTGGACGACGCTGTTCCCAATGTTCCCGTGTATGGTAACCGGACCGTACCAAGAGAACCAATGTCAGGAGTAGAAGCTAGTATACGCATGCCGCCGGAGTAAAAGGGTTAAGTTTTTTTTACTTCCTTTTTTTTTGTATTAATTTTTATACCCAGTCGATCGGCCACTCCTCATGCCATGTGATTTCGACCCCTACCCAACCCTATTTAACCCAACCCACCAAAATAATATTATAAATAATATCTCTCCTCCGTTCAATACATTTTTCACTTCTCGAATTTCATACGAATGCCAAAGAAGCTATTTATATAATATACGATTATCGTTTTATTTTTTATTTGGATAGGACTTAAGTAATCATTTTACGTCAATAAGAAAACTCTAGATATAAGTATCAATTTTTAATCACAATTTTTGTTATGATTTGTTTACTTTTTGTTTTTACTTTTTTCTGTACATATTATAGTGAAAAACAATTATTCTTTTACCCCAAAACAAGGAATATGTGTGTATTATTTTTTGATAGACAACTTTTTTTTTCATGTACGATTCCAAAATATTTAGTGTTTTATTTTTGTACTCTTAACTAATCGCCTATTTATATGTGTATTAAATATTTATACCGCCGTTGTATAAACAATTTTAGATGAAACAAAGTTAACACGGCTTCGGTATAAATTTTTTTTTAAATTATTATTCTAAAAGTAATTCTGTCGATGAACTCACCTACTATTCTCACCCACGAGTTTGAAAATGATCGATTTTAGGTATATCCTTTTCCCCAATCACCCTTTAAAATAAGATTATTAAATAATTTATTTTGTGTTCATTAAATAGATCTCTCTACGATCGTAAGTAGAAAGTCCATCACACTTATTAGTGTTTAGCATGTACAAATCACTTGCGAAATCAGAATTAAAATATAATAGTAATAATAATATATAAAAAAAAATATATCAAATTTGACTGATTAGTTAGGTAGCTATCATAGGGGTAGTGTGTGACCTACTTAGTTATAGGAATATTTTTTAATCATTATTCATAAGTAATAATGCAAAACAAAAACCGCTCATACATTTTTGAAAATTTATTTATTTTTTTTAGAATAAATCAAGTGTATAAATTTGTGTAAAAAGACAGTATTTCAAATGGAAAAAAATCATAAATATATAAACATATAATATTATAAAGTATATAATATATTTTTGGAAGACTTTTTTTAGGATAAAAATATAAGAAAATTTAATAATGCGTTGAATTTCAAATAAATATTTTAAGATGTTGCGATTTTTGTATTCTAAATAAAACAAAAAACAATAATATTTATATTTAATTATTGATGATTGTGTGTTCCATAATATTGTAAGTTTAAATGATAATTATTTTAAGAAATAATAAAAAAGACATTCATATTCATATATTTATTAGTTTAACCATTATGTGAAATTATTGATAAGCACTGAGCTTTTTTTAACGACGAGTACAAAAAATATGTATCTTAATTTTAATGCGACATTGAAAATTGTATGTTTTGTTTTTATATCGTTTAATCTGGATTTTTCATGATAAAAAAAAGTCTGTCTTCCAAAATGTTTTTTTTGTTCATAAACGCCGGACCATGTATGATTTTTTTCGTGTACATTTTAATTAATTTAATTCTTTTTTTTTTGTATTTATTATTATTTATTTATTTATTTATTTTTTTTTTTTACTATTCTTATCCTTACTTTAATTTATGTTAAGGCTTATTTATAATATACACAATGAAAAAAACGTATTTAATTTAGCGTTGTAAGTTAATCGAATGTACCTACCAATGAGATTCTCTCGAATAAAAAGAGTTTGTACACACTTTTCAAATAATTATGTTGTACCTACATCTTTATCGATGTGTGTTTTACTAACCTCATTTTGCTGTCGTCGAGCCCATCCCAGACCAGCCAAGTGACCCTATTGTACCACGATTAACGATGTATAATTATTTATTACACCTGCATTATTAAAACTAATATAATCGTCCGAAGGTGAATAATAATACAATATTCGCATATGGGCATTTCGTATCTGCACGAGTTTTTGAATCCACTCAATATTGTTATTGTACAGGCAAACACACGCGTTTGCAGATTTGTCGTAATGAATAACTGTACAGACGAGTGTAACGACTGCAGTGTCAACGAAAGTATAAACCTAATTAAAATGACGTCATGAGGTCATGTCTTAAATATACCAATAATAATATCAATAAAAAACTGTGTTTATTACCACATTTTAAGTTGCGGTTTTCGTTTTCTCTTGTTTTGAAGCACATATTATGTCTGTGTAATATCATCGGAAAAATAAAATCGACCGATTGACCTATTAAATCGCAGCCGAAAACGAGTTTTAATTACCCGTAAAACGTTTGGAGGTTCGTTATTATGACGGATCTGAGACCGCATCGTTTTATATTGCACATAATTTACCCAACAACGTTATTAATAATAATTAATAAACATCGTGTGAAGCTATCTTCGATGCGCCTATAATATTAATAGTATAATATGCAGTACCTATTGCAGTTACATGAATATAAATGTATGTATACACATTATAGTGGCGAGCTGGATGACCAGATTGAAACGTGTTTTTTCCCATGGCATAATATACAGAGTGATTTATCACAACTCACAAGTATACTCATTCCCAATTTTAATTTCAAGTATACATTTTTTCAAATTTTGATATTCCGAACTTTGAAGTATACCCAAAGGCCGTATTTTCCTCTGATTGTATTTTTTTGTTGGGACCTACCATTTAAGGAGTGTCATGTGGTGAAACCAACTTTTTTTCCAAATAATAATCACTGTTTTCCTTTAAATTGTTAAGCGGGAAAATAAAAACTTTGATTTATAATATTATATAAATCGAAAATCTAACGAGTAGTTTTTGAGTGACTGCTTAATTTTGTGTATAGCTACTACATGGATAATAGGTTTTGAAAAATGTGTTGGGGGTAAGATGGTTTGAAAATTATAGTTGTTCTTGTTTATGTATCAATATTTTATAATTTGTAAACATTATCCGAGTATAATAAATTCTAGACTCGATACGCGATCTATTTTATATATTTGTAAAACCATCTTTAGGACGACTAGGCGTTCTTATTTGTACATAAATTTTAATGAAGCAGAAACTTGTTGTCTGTATATTGAACTTTGATTTAGATACATCAGCATCGTCAAAAAAATCATCTGCTTAACAATGTATAAGAAAGAGGTCGTTTGTACTGGAAACAATTCCTAAAGTCAGAATTTTAACGAAATCACTGCCCATTAGAGGAAAAAATGTGGGTGCGCACTGCGCATGCTTGCAGGTGAATCATCTCGTACCAATATATCATGTTATGTAAGAAGTAAGAATGCGTATTTTGATGAGTTTTTTACGGTAAGTCGAAAATAAAATAATATACGATAATCCGGTGACGTTTATGCACGCGCAGGCGCATCGTAAAACTATTGAACAATTATTTTAGTTTTTGGTCACGACTTGGTACATTATTGTTATTTACTGACAAGTTACAGGAGTGCCGGCCGCACGGCGGTTTCTGTGTTTACTTACCGCTTCACCGATTGAAAGCGAAAACGAATACTGGACAGCTTTTCGGACAATAATGATATTGTATTATAGGTACCTGTTTTATTTCATACAATATTTGTATAATATCATCCGCGCATACCATACGTCGGAGATAATGTGCGCAAATGCGAAAATAATAGGTAGAACCTGCCCCGCGGATGGTTGTTTGGAAATCGGATCCTAGAATCCAGTAAACGAGTTTTGGCGTATTTTTTTTTTTTTTTGTCCGTTCATTGTAACCACAGTCTTCGGTTCTTTTCCACAAAGACCCCGGCGGCGACACGACAGTTCTTCATAACTAAAATATTGTATAGATACACAATATAAAACATTATATTAGTTTCCAGAAAAAAAAAACACCGTCTTTGTACCCTCGTTTTTGTAAATACAAACCTTATTTATTAAGTAGCATCTAATGACGGCTTGTACGGTAAAAAACAAATAACACCGTACTCATGAGAGTCCATATTTTCCTCGCGGCTGTAGAATTATGTAAGTATTTGAGTCTAATGAAAGTCAATACGTTGGTTTACTATATAGCTACTTTACGGCGGACAAGGATGCCGCGGTTATGGAGGTACGAAAAGTAAAGTATAAATCCCCCATAGATCTATAGAGACGTTGGATAGAGTTTGGACGTATAGTATAATATGACCATGTTGATAAAATATAATATTATACAAATATGTATAAAGGGAGAAGTATCAGTGTCTAAGATACGCATTAATGGTTGACTTGTACTTGCAATGTACTTACTGTAACTTCGACGTTTGTTAATATGCGTCGATTATCTAGAATCCGAATACTCTTTTCGTAGAATGTGTCTTATTGAGTATCTTTTTAGCGTAAACAACTGTAAAATGCACAAAATGTTAATAATTTGTTCCTCGTGTTATTTCTATGCTGATTATATTATCACCGAACTCAGACAATGCGGTGTTTGTGTAGGCCGTATTGGAAAGCCTGGAGTAAAGTGGGGGAGGGGGGCAGTTCTGGATTTTTGAGGCTTATTTTTCTTTCTCCTAAGTAATTACGGACTATACAACTAAGGATGTACTTATTAGGTTTTATAAATGTACAGTATACGCAGGATGGAACTAACCATTTAATTATAATGTTTTTGTTTTGTTACATTAAAAATATTATTTGAATAAACTTATTGTTTTAAAATTTAAAGACATACAAATATAATTAGTTGGTACAAGATAGTCCATACGTTTTTTTCGAATGATTTCTTAAACATTAAGCATTAAACTCTAAATGTTTCGTAAAATATATTGATTTAGCAACTTTTAGTTCTGGATAACTCTTAAAGTAATTGACTTACTTGTTATTTTTGAGCTTCAATCATAGAACATCGATAATTAAAGCTTTATGTTGACAAAAAAATCGATATAGTCCCATTTGGATCCAAGTCTACAAATTATTTAATGGCTTGAGGATGTAGGCCAATAACTCGATATCAGCCAACACTATGATAAGAATATATGTTGATAAAAAATCGTCCCGTTTCTGATGTGTGAATTTCCAATCACAAATCACGTCAGAACAAATGTTGTAGTATTTATAATATATTCCATAAATTATGATAATGCTTTTAAACTTATGTGAGATATTTTAGATGCATAAACATATCCGTGCCCTAGTTAATATGCCAAATTTGTTTTCGCGAAGGTGACATTTGTTTAACACCTAACACACAAAAATCAAATCTAACACTCTCGCTTATTCATCCACAATATTATCATTATATCTTCAAAGCGAGAAATTTCATTTTTCAATAATTAAACGTGGAACAAAATTAATTAATTATTTTATTTTGTAGATATAGGTTTTACTGCAAGGTGTTACGCATTGTATTTGTACTTATACGACGTATATAGACACATTAAACGAAATAAATTTGGTTTATAATTAATATTGAATATAATATTTTATATTTTATGGGTGTATTTGATAGCTTTTGTTCACATAATCGTATGTTTCTGATTGAAACCATCGTGATAACCGTTGCGTTTTTACGTTACGAAACTTTCTCTGGATAATGTTTTTCCTACGCAAAAGTACCTGTACGTGTAAAACAAATCAATATTATAATATGTACACTGTACATGCCTATTACATTTCTGCATATTTATGCACATGTAAATTATTATCAGCCGGACAACTGACAGAATCCATTATTAATTCCTAGCCAACGGTATTAGCTATGTATATAATAGATTGCGGAACGCCGCACAGCTTATGAACACGAATAACTTTTCAGAGAACGTTTGGAAATAAATAAATAACGAAACAAATACGTTATGATGTATAATACTTCTATATCTATTGTAAGGTCACTGTATATTTTTCAAATTATGTCGAACCGTACGGCGGAAAGATGCAGATATGAATGATTTGATGTCTTCGATTTTACGACTGAGACCACCCACTATATATATACATTATGTGCGTTTAACATTATTGCATATAGCAATAATCTTCAGTTCTATACAAGTAGGTGTATAATGTTTTGCGTCAGTCACTGTCCACTAGCGTTTTTATGCACGACTATTTTGTAATCCACAGGGTTTGAGTTATGCAAAAATTTAAATGGCCATGACAAACCTCAAAATAATACAGGTTGAATCAGCGAGCGTGATTGTCACTTCCTTCTGATCCTTTAATAACGCAATTCAGCTATTCAAATTTTGAATGTTTGAGTAACCTAAATGAACAATTTTTTTAATACATTTAGGCATACCATTTAAAGAGTGTCCTAGACGATCAGAAAATTATTTTTTTAAATGAGAACCACCTTCCATAGGGTTGCCATTTATACAAAAATACAAGTCGGGACACTATAATACCTCCCCCCCCACAATACATTCTTTGGAATTTTTAATAATACCTTTTTTAGTCCAACGTTATTTAATATTTTTGTTATATTATAATATTTTATAATAAATAAAAAAGTCAAAAATTAGAAATAGCACAAAATGTAATAATAGTATTATTATTATATTATTCATAAATATAATTTTAAATTATCTAAAAAAATTAATTAGGTACACAATTTTTAATTTAAAACAGAGTGGTCTTACTTATTTACTAATATATTATGTATTGTTTAAATATGCATCATTATTCATTATCGATTTCATCTAACTTCATTTTTCGATTTTTTTCATGTATGAGATCCAGAAGCTTCTGATTTTGGATTTGTTGTTGAATATTTTGCAGTTTTATGAACTCGGATGAGCAAATCTTTATTTTTCAAAATGTCTTCATAAAATTAATGGCAAGGATTATTTTCCAAATTAGTCTTAATGACTAAAGTAGCTTCTATTGTATTGATGCATAAATTACCTCGTGACTTTGTCCAACAACTGTTCATCAATGAAAATATCTCTCAACTGCAGCGTTAGATCCAGGCAATGCAAATACAAATTCTACAATTTTTAATAACATAGAATAATCAATATTATTCTGTTTAAATGATTTAAATCGGTCCTCGGCTATCTCAGAAATTTCCGACAATTATTTATTATTTGTTATTCACATTTCACACGTGAACAATTCGGGACTTATTTTAAGAAACCGGTACTTATCAACGTCCCGGCCGGGAAATGAAAAATATCGGGACTCGGTAGTAAAAACCGGTAGTGTCCCGGCGAAATCGGGACGAATGGCAACCCTAACCTTCCATACTGTATAAATATTGTCGACTAAATGATTTTATCGAAACAGTTGACAGTTTGACACATCTAAATCGAAATTCGAACGAGTAACCTAATAAACTGCATGCACTAAAAACAATAGTCTTTTATAGCAGTTTTACATCAATCATAGAATAGTTGTACTTAATACCTATTTAGCCTAATAATTATTATACAATGACAATTTTAACTAATCAAATCATTAAATTAATTTATTTGTATAATTTTAAATCATTATTGCTCCCATACTTGTTAAACCCATTACATATCATAAACTATAGTCTACAATATACTCAATACTTAAAGTTTTTTAAAGTTGTTTAAACTTAGAAAATACTCGTTCAAATTTCGACGTATATAGGTGCATCATCAATACCATTACAAACCACAACAAAAAAGAATTATTCAAATATTTTGAAAAAAAACAATTTTGTGCCGCTACAGCCTACTCTATTAAATGTCTTAAAAAATTTAAGTATTTAAAGATATTATGGTTCTTATGTATATGTACTTACAACAAATCTAAAAATAAAAATTGTATTGAATGTATTGCGAAAAATGGGGCTGAATCACACCTAGGAAATCACTTTGTATGACTTTGTATCGATTATATAGTATATCTGATAAAACCAATTGCGTTCACTCTTAATAATTGTACGCGTGACATAGTAGACACGTTATGATAGATTTTAAATACTATAATTGCAAGAAAATGTTCGAAAAAATAAAAGCACGCTGCTCTATTAAAAATCCAATAACGGAGGCGTTTCACTGCAATGATGTATTATTATTGCTCGATTTGGGCGCGTATATTGAACGGTCGACTGTAAACAGTATAAACAATAAATGTGATATTATATATAAGCATAGTGTACACCCATAGGTATGTTGTTGTAGTTAAAAATTTTGCCCGTCTAATGTCCAATATAAAAAAAAAAACTATGGGTGAAAGGAAAATGCCACGTTTCCATACATTATGTGATACTATATTGAAAATTGACTGTAAATACAATTCGTGCAGTCGGTAAACGATAAGCCCTACTACCACCTACGTAACAACGAGGCTGTGCAAGATTTAGCTGATTGTATATACCTATAGATGATATTATAATTATGAAATGAATGATTGGTAAATTGATTGTCGTCGAAAAAAAATTCACCCGACTTTATTTTAGTATGTTAATGCGAAGTTATAGTTGGCAGTTATAAATGATTATTTATGTTTTACTTTTAAAATTTCTTTTGTTACGTATATGGTGTGCCACTGATGTTTATGTATAATACACACATTAATACATAATAAACAAAACACGTAATTAATTATTATACTCTCGAAAACTAAAAGGTTGAGTTAAATGTTAATCGCTCCTCGACGTGGCATTCTCAAATTTTAATCAATCGTAATTTATTAACAAGGATTTCATATGTTATACTTATTATTAACTGCATTTTTACATGATATAATGTCCCGAATAGATAAAGCTAAACTATTTTTAAAGCTTGCGAGTTTCGGATACTATTATGATATGAAATAGGAGAACAACTGTAAAGAATTTTTAACGGATCAATAATGGAACATTGACGATTAACATTATACATTATAATACAAGTATAGGATTATTCGATGATAATATGAATAAATCTAAGTATTTATATTTTATTGAATACGCCAGGTACATATTATTTACTCGTGAAGTAATGTGTTACTATAATTATTATTTTTTTAATATCTAATACATTTTATAAATGTAAAAGTTATTTTGTTATTAGCTTTTAAATTAGCGACCGTTGTTTATATAATTAACAGTTACTACAATCTGAAAAATCTTAGATACCATTCATTTAACAATATCCTTTGTTTTTATCGTTTTGATTCATCAAAAATATATTATTGCGTTTCTACGTGTGTATCCATATTTGTCCGATTTGTTAGACAACTGAATATATTATTACAATAATATAAGCTATTTAATGATATACGGTATACCATATACCTATGTTTAATGTTTGTATTAAAAAATAAACAATAGGTGTAGATACAAGGTACCTACAAATAGACAATTTTACTGACCATAGATGATTTCCTATTATGATTTTCGTTACTTCGACGTATTCTACCAATATAATACCTGCGCGGCTGCATGTTGTGACCATGAATTCACAAATACACTTCATTACGCAATAATTAGCGTTATGTAGGTACTTAAAAAACCGGTGGTACCAATATGTATTTCATGGTTATTCTTTTTATTGACTCTTGCACACTTGTTGGAAGCCGGATGTCTTGATGGTGTTGTACACTTGTTAGTCGATCTCAATAGATTTAATACATTTTCTTAATTTATCAAAAACCTCCAAAAAGATGATATACAAGTAAAAAACCATACATAACATTCGATCACCTAATATAATATACAATTTTAAATGTTTAATTCAACATGTACAAATTCATTAGTCATACCTAAACAGCGAGGTGCAAAAAAATAATGCAAATGTAAGGTAATAAACTTGCAGTGAAAAAAGTTATTTTATAGTTCATTATTCTTGAAAAATATCATTAACATTTCTGTATTGGCAAGTTTCAGTACAACACGTAATGATGTATTTTAAATGATCTGTTATGACTTCTTGACAATAAATGGTTGGATAATTTTGTCAGATTCTATCTCTATACGAATATTGTTATTATATTAATAGTGGTCATAGATTTTTAAAATAAACAAAAACTTGATATGATGCACAAAAACATTTAAAATGAATAATAATTTG